AATTCCCATCTACGATCGTTTCCAATGGCTTCTCGAGGTATATTTGATTCTCTCAAACTTCTCATGACAGCTTCCCAACCAAAAGGGGTATTATTTGTCTTGCGGTTACGAATGAAATCATTGACGATATCCACCACGTTCGTGCCTTTCATTACCTGACCGCCATGGGTCAATTCGTACTTATCATTCCATGAGTAGGGTGTTTTCTTTTCCAAATGCTCTAATAACATACGAGCTCGGCCTTGGTATGTTTTAGGTACCGAAGTTAAAATATCGGTTTTCCACGGAAGCGATGTCGTCAGGTTTGTTGTTTGTTGTCTCGGGTATGGTTCGTGCATGTCTTTTATTTTGTAGTATTCGATATCGCTGCAACATTTGACCATATTGGTCCATTTTAATATCGTCTGAAGTATTGGACTTGAGTAAACGTTGCATTTCTTGACTTAATTCTTCTAAAGCTTCTTTCTGGATTTTGATCGTACACGGGTTCGTAAGGTTTAACCGTCACAATCTTCTCTGGTTCATCTGCTGGGACCAATCTCATTTTTCGTGTATACTTCATCGCTGTTTTAATTTGTTAAGCAAAGGATGAAAGACGGGTTTCCACAATCCTTTACCGTGTTGTTGAAGTAATCTCTTACGGGTTTTCCAAGGTGTTTTGGGAGTGCCCAGACGTCTAAGTAAGGTTGACTTTGATCGTAAACGTCTTGTTTCTGCAGCTGATAGTGGTAAGGTGCCCCGAATCAAATTACCAATACATTCACATAAACAATCCACGACTTTTTTATCGTTCAAAATATGATTCCGCCAACTGTGAGGGGTTTTTAAGAAATCGTTCAAGGTCTGTTGAGGCTTCATGACTGAGACCAGAGTCCAAGGTCTCTCCTTTATATACCCTATCACTGCCGAATGGCACCGATGATAGGTCCAATGACACTAGAGGCCAAAGAAGCCAACAACGCACCCAGAAAGCCACCTTTTTGGTTTAACAATTTTCTTTTGGACCGCCCAGAGGTTCGAGGGTTGGCTAAAGTTCGCAGGGCTTTTTTGTGTGGTGTTAATAGACGACGTTGTTGTGTCGTTAATCGAGTCTTGCCGTTTAAAATAGCTTTACATTGGTTAGAAACACACTTGATGCTACGACGTGGTGCCATGCTGTCAAATGATAATAAATGTTTGCAGCGCCCTTTTTATACTTTTCTCTTCTTAGCTCTTTTTTCTTTCTTCTTTTTCTCTTGTTCTAATCTTTCTTTCCATCGAACCAAAATACGTATCAACACTCCACCGAAAAAACCTTGACCTCCAGGTTTCATGACCAAAGCTAATTTTTCTTTAGTGCCTATATTTTGAGTCAATTGTTTTAAAACATCTTTATTTCTAGCAACCCATTTGGTGTGTTGAGCGTGTAGCGGTTGAATATTCCCTTTCAGGAGATGATTGGCCGCAAGTTTAAACCACTGTAACAAGCCAATGCGTGCCGTACCCACATTTCGCACCAATTCCGTGTAGACCATTTCTGGATTCAGACGTTTTAAACGTTTAATAAAATCTACCATCTCTTTCATTTGCTTGCTTTTTCGGCCGCGAGCCAGAGGATCCGCTGTCTGTCTGTCTGTCTTCTTTGTTTGTTTCGTTCGAAGTTGTTTGGTCTGGCGTGTTTTTTTCAATCTTCGACGTGGTTGTGGTTCTGGTGATGTTGGCATTGGAGGTGTCTCTGGGCGTAAATCTGGGGCCAGAGTAGAAAACAGTCTGGGTGGAGTTGGTGGTAACGGGGAGATGGGTCTTGGTGGTGGAGTTAAAGTGGGCAGTGGGGTGGGTGAAATGATTCTGCGTCTGGCTCCTGGGATGGTAGGTCGCGTAGGTACCCGAGCTGTTGGATCTCTGAGATCAGGGGCTAATGGGGCGAAAGGTACAAACTGGGCTCTGGGCAACCGAGTTGTCCCTGGGGGTGGTTGGTGAAGTCTTCTTGTGTTCTTGGTGCGTGCCATGGTTAAATGGTCATTCTTGAAGTGATTGTCCCTTTTTATACTTTTCGGAGATAGACGAAGCCTGGGGCTTCAGAGGGTAAAATTCTTGTTCGCAATCTCATCTCTTCGGGCGTGTCGGGTTTCAAATCCACGAGCAAATAACTTCTGGGTGGTAAAGTGGCATCAGTGTAAGCTTCTTGCATGGCATGTCCAGGATACATTTGTCGGGCTAACACACCCAACTGAGAAGCATCTCTAGGGTTTTTAAACAAGACCAAATAATGGGCATTGAGACTTATTGTGCGTTGTTTTTTATCAAACAAGTTTTGCACAAGGTAAATAACACTTGTGTTTCGGTGGTGACTTTTTTTCGTAAACCATTGTTCAAGGGCAGCCGTATCTTCGCCCATCAAATCATCGACTACCAAAATTTGAGGCCCTGACACTTGAGCCATGACATCATCGATATTTCCTAAGCCATGGACGTAAGTGTAAGAAAACGTTTCGTAAGACTGTTGCCATTCGCCATAGGCCCACACGATTCGTTCGGGTACTGGGTCAAACATGTTGGCCTCCAACAATTTTTGAACAAAGACCGTTTTCCCAACACCTGTGGGACCGGAAACTAACATTGTGAACGGGTGTCTGAGTGCCGTGTCGAATTCCATGATGATTCTGACTTTGGCTGCAAAAGCCTCTCCTTTTTATAGGGCTTGGATAATCAAATTGCTAGAGGAAGGAAAAACCAATGTTTGTTTCAATAAATTTTATATCACATTTTAAATTTTTACAACATTTTAAACAAACGTATTTACATTTTAAACAAACGTATTTACATTTTAAAAAACATAACAAACGTATTTACATTTAAAAAAAAAAAGAACAAAGTTTTTCAAACAGGAACAAAGTTTTTCAAACAGCAAACACAGCAATCTATTCAGCTTTTTCTTCCATCTTCATAATTTGGTCGTGTGTCCATTCGCAATAACGTAGACTTTTTGGAATCCAATACATGTTTCCACACATCATTTGTAAGGCATCATCCTGCATCCAATCTTGCAATTCACCAAGTAACATAACCACTATAGTCCAGGCATCATTATTAAATGGCTCCCTTGGTAATAGGTACAGGTTTCTAAATCCACGTGGACCCAATGGTACAATGATAGCTTTGGCCAATTCGTCGGTGGGTTCAATACTTGGAACTTTGGTATCTTCGGAAATATTCGGCAGCTTCTCCACACCAGTACCAATATCTTTGTATTCTGGCGTTATACAAGGAGCCTCGTTTGTTGAACAAAGTGTTTGTGAGATCGTCGAAGGTGACTCTGGTTTCAATGGGCTGTCCACAATGAAACAATCCATGTCCGAGTTGGTGGCAGTTGAGGCATCGGTGGTTTTCTTCTGAGGGACGTTTGTTGTGGTTGTCTTCAGTGGAATGATTGTTGAGGTTATCTTCAGCGGCATGTCTGTGGAGGTTATCTTCAGAGGTGGAACTTCTGAGTTTTCTCCTTGGTTGTCGATGATTTTCTTTTGAGGACATTCGGATTTCCAGTGTCCTTCTTGTTTACATTGATAACATTTTCCTTTTCTGGGTTGTTTGCGTTTTGGTTCTTGACAGTTACTGGCCCAATGTCCTCGCTGTTGACAGTTGTAACAGATGTGATGTCTTGACTGATGTCTTTACTGGTGTCTTTGTTTTCTTCTTGGTTAGTTTTTTCTCCATTTCGCAAGGGACACTCTGGGACCCAATGTCCTTTTTCTCCACAGTGATAACATTCTCCATAGCTCCTTTTCTTATACATAGGTTGTACACGATCGGATGTCCAAGTGAAAATGATAATTTCCAACGCTGATCCGAAACATATACCCTCTCCCAGGTCACGTGGTTTGGTGAAAGCTGAATCACGTGGTTTACTGGATTGTGATTGGTTGAAGTTTTTAGACATGCGCACTGTTTGCTGTGTTGCTGTTTTCCAAATTTGCTGTATTCTGATTGGTTGAAGTTTTCTAAATTTTCATTGGTTGTAAAAGATCATCCAAGACTTCTTGCATGGTTTGAGGATTGTAACGTTGCACAAGATATTCAATGCAATGGTAAACAACACTATCTTTATCGTACCACACCATAGGAGCTAGGAAAGGATATTTTTTCTTCATTTCATTCCAAATCATTCCTGTTTGATCTGACAATATATCTTTTAACAATTCTCTGTCTCTTTTCTCCATGTTGGTAATATCATACGTAAACCAGGAACTTCTTTCCAGAATTTTCTTAATTCTTTTTCTACGTCAATCGTCCAATCGTCTTCGTTTTCCCACAACTGCACGTGACCTTTCGGGTCTTCTATCAAACTTCCTAATACGGCGTCAATGTCTTCGTCTTTAGGTTTTTCCTCCAAGGCCAAATACAAATAATCATCGACTGGATGACTACGACCACTTGACGAAATTCCAATTCCCAGGCAACTGTGATATTTTTGACTTGGATGATCCGTTTCACAGCCGATGCAATTTGAATGTTGTTGATTTTGGATGGCTGGTAGATAATAATTCTCGACTCTAAATTTTACCACCTCCGTCTATTTTCGGCTTGAGTGAATCCATAGGTAAGTATTATGGGT